CCAAACAGTCACTACAGTCAAACCTGCTGGTGAGATCGTCGCTACTTCAGATACATCCATATAGGACGTCTATCAAATATGAGGTATCTTTCAATTAAAGCGGCGTTAGCTGAGTCGTCTAACCGTTCCGTTGACTCACTGCGCTCCAATCGGCAAATCAATTCGAGACAACAAACGTCAGACTAATTCGCTACTCCCTTCGAACTATACACTAAACGTCCCACAGAATAGAAGTCCACTGGGCTTCTAATTTGTTTTAAGAATTATAAGTTTCAAGGTGGGCTTCAATTACGATCAACTTTTTTTCATTTTGTAAAGCCGTTTATACAAGTTTAGAAGGTACTGTAGCTACAGTTTCATGTACTTTCATAATTTCATTTATTTACATAACTGTATATCTTTGTTACAAAAAACTTCAATTTCACATGGACAAATACTACATGTTTCACAATTTTATCACCGAACAAAAAAATATCACATAATATAACAAAACAATAAGACAATTAACAAGAGTTATTTTTTCCAAAATGAAAGCAATATACTTTGTTTTAACACTTTGACTGATTCTTTAACATGTACTTCATCGATTTCTTCTACTAAACTGGTTGCATCATTAATATCATTTCTGAAATTCAAAGATTCCAGATCAAAAGAATAACCTAGTAAAGATTTGATTGTGACTACGCTATTATCACTTCAGGTGTAGCTTAAATCTCGAAAGCTTTTGGAAAAAGTTTACACTTTTTAGTGATCGTTTCCAACCTGTGCTTGTTAAACGAGTACACAATATTCTTTGCTGTGAAGAAGTAAGTTTAATAGTAGACCTTGGCCCATTAACTTCTATCCATTCCTCAGCAGCATCATGATAATGTGCTTTAAAAACACTGAAAATAGATACATCTAAGACTTGAATATATTATGTAATTCCACGTGGTTTTATTCCTAAAATGGCACAATTTTTGTTGAATAAAGCTTTAACATCTTCAGTAAAATGAGAACTACAGGAATCTGTAATAAACATTTTCGGACGACCATCTCTTGTTTTACTTAACCAATGTCCAGTATAGTTTTTCATGATAGACGAATTGATGAAAGCACTAGGACTGAACTAAACTTTGACGGTTTTATCATACTCTTTTTTTTATTTTTCGGATATGTGTTCTTTTCCTTTAAAAATTAATGTTGGTCCTATTCGACTATTATCATCTCCAAAAGCAGTAATTATCAAAGTACAAAATCTTTTGTTATTTAAACGACCCTCCACTTCATTTGGTGTGTTCGCATAAATTATACTAACTTTACTTTGATCGCCAAACAGAGCAAGTGGACTTTCGTCCACATTGCAAATGTCACGACCAGTAAATGATCCTGACACACCTAAATTTAATACTCGAAATGCACCTTTTTCTCACAAATGTTAAAAATTCAGTAACCTTACCATGAACTTCAGAAAGTGTAAGCTTTTGTTGCCGTTTTGGCTTTTGCAAGGATAAGTTATGTCGTTTTAGAAAACGACAAAGCCACATTTTCGATGGATATGGTTGAATCTTTAAAGAAAGTCATATTCTTCCACCTTGACGTACTAAATTTTTGAATGTAATTCGTTCTTTTTTTATTTGTGTTGGGGGGTTTTGATTTTTCGTCGTTGGGATCAGTATGTTTTGATTTAAACCATTGTATTAAATGTTGATTAAGTTCTTTGTGACAAATTTTTGCACCAGCACCTTTTAAACGATTCAACTTTTTTCCATTTTTTTGACCCTTGATGACTAACAGTTGTGATTCTTTTTTTAACCACTCCCGAACCTGTTTTCTATCACAATGATGTTGTCGACTAACTAGAGAAATATTTTTGCATTTTTTTAAATGCATTGATAGCATTTAGTTTTTCTTGAATAGTCCAACATCGACGCTTTGAAGAAGAATCTTCGATGGATTTGTAATTGCTGTAATAAGATATTGTTGGTTGAATCAGATTAGTTGTTGTTGTTGTATCAATCATAGAAGATATTGGAATATCAATTTCAGCCTGTTGTTGATCATCATCTTCTTCATTGTCTTGTAACTCGTTGGTAATATCCAATAAATCTATTACATTATCAAGCATTTGAATAACATTTTCAATTATTTCGTCGTCTCAGCTAATTGACAAGTTAGACTCGATATCAATTTCTTGAGTTAAAGACTGTAATGGTAATAAGTGAGTTTCGTCCATTCCAAATAGATTTTTATTCACAACTTGAATAAAATTGAATTACTGTTACGAAGTGATAGAGGATTAACGTTGCAATACGAGTATTAAAATGTGTATAATATTGTTTTTATATCGCAAATTAGCATACAGAATAAAAAAAGTTATTCTTTCCATACAAAATTGTCGACGGGCACAATTGACGAACGAAGTTCAATAGTCAAAGAAGAAAATATACACAGAACGAAAGAAATAGATTGACCGATATGAACATTTCATTAAAAAAAATTGAAAATTATCAACAGAATTATTTTGTCTTCTTAATTTTTCTA